TAAGACTGAAAAAATGTGCTGAGAAGCTAGGTGTTAATTTACTGGTCGGAGAGGGGGCATTCTTATACTTCCATTAAGTGACTATCAATCTGCCATTAAAAAGGTACAAAGAAGTTGCAGGTTTACATTCTGAGAAATGTCAACTAACTGCAGTCAACCAAAACAGATAGTAAAACAGGTTGGTCAATATTACCTGAGGAGCCCTTAAAAAAAAGAAAAAAACACACCCTTGAAAATATGACACAAGATGATCTTGGCATTGAGTTAATTGAATAAAACCCAATTCAAGGAGCAAAGGTGTAAGAACCTGGCCAGTAAGACCCAATAATTGATTGACCATATCTGGGTTGCAAAACCCAGTTTTCTCCAGTTTGTGAGTCTTTGGTGCCACTTTTGCAGCCCAGATCCGGTAGTACTAAGAGCAATACTGAGCCCTCGTTTGCTCTCCATTAGAAAAGCGACATGCTTCGTTTGCCCAGATAGCCTGAGCTATGCGTTTTATTGCATTCACTATGTCTTCTGAATGGAAGATTGTACGACAGGATTGGCGTGGAAGCCTGCGTCCCTTAGCCCGCTTCCACCAAATATCGATTTCATTTAAGCGAAAGAACAGAAAGGAGGAAAGCTTTTGCGGTTTCCATGGTACCTTCCCACCCTATAGCATGCCGCCTATCGACGTTGGTCACGTGACCCTCAATATAGCCTATGCATAGAAATCTGCCCATCTTCACTCCATTCCCTCCTCCAATAGTAGTCCGCGGACTTCCCGTGTTGTCGAGCGAACGCACGCCTGATCGTGACGCTTCGTCCCGTTTTAGCCAATCAGAGCAGCGTAGCCTTTCGGCTTTCAAGACAGTATCATTGAAGAGCCCCCGCTGAGGACGAATCCGCGGCCTTTTTGCGGGGATCTCTGCGGAGAGAGCTGGCCTTTGCTGGGTAAGTGAAGCAGGCATCGCTTTAGTGCGAGTCCGTGGCTTTGCGGATCTGCGCCTCTCCCCGTTTTTTAACGCGGCATAATCAGCCGTTCTCATCGTACAAGTAGGGACGTCTGCTGCGATACCACATTACCTGATTGGGTATATATGCTGCCTGAAGAGTTGTTTTACACGATAAAAGATTAATATTGTACTGCTGTTTTTTTTTAAGTCTTTTCATTTACTGAGTTCT